TTAAAATCCTTTCAGGTATATAACTGGAAACAGCCTGAACTGAAGGGATGATAATGGAGTCAGATCCTGTGGTAGAAAAACAGGCATTTGCACTGATTTTAGTGTGAATTAGAGGCTCCAGGAGCCTCAGACACAAACCACAAAAACAAGAAGCCAACTGCCCTTTTCACACAAGCAGTCAATTCTTCTGCTTTGTAATGAAGAAGCATGAGAATTATAGGCAGCATGGAAGGAGAGGATATGGGGCAGTATTGAAGCAGATTCCTGTGGAGTACCTCCAGGAACATTGTTAAAGAGCAAAGGCCACGTAGATGAATGAGGACAGTCACCAACTTCAACTTCTGCCTCCATGAACTGAAATGTGTGAAGACGGGTGCAGTGTCTGGAAATAAAATCCTAGAGACAGTTTAAGAGAGGACTGGAGGTGTTATTTTTTTTTTCTCTTGACCTCAGTTGCCTAGTTAGGGTAATTGAATGCTCCTTGGAGGATATCTGAGTACATTTTTCAGCAACTGACCAATACGGGTTTAGAAACTCAGTGTGTATTTGCACCTATTGAGCCCATGTGTTTCTTTTTCTGGGTCCTTAGAGTAAAAATCAGAACTAGGCCCAGCTGTTCATTACAATTAAATTTCAGTAACTCAAGCTTGGTGATTTTATTTTGACTAGTGACTTAAAAGTGATGGCATTTAAATGGCCTTAGCTGTATTTCAAAGTTAACATTGAGAAACTTCACACGTAAATTAGTGTTATTTGTCTGTTGGCAAACTCAACAAAATACCACTGTGTTGATTTACATAGTGAAGGTTATCTTTGCTAACAGGACTCAGAATTTCATTATTTAAAATATGAGTATGAATCTCATCACAAGTGCAGGAGGCTACAGATGTCATTACATACAACTTACCACCTGAGTCAAGAGCAGAGGTGAGGTTTATACTGTGCACTGAGCCCCATGGGCAAATAGAACAAAACCCACACAACATTACCTGTGGCCAGGACAGATCTGACTCTATAATGAGGACTTTTCCTTTCTGGTACTTAGGTTTGTTTCTATGTGTTTGTCTTCTCTAATTTATTTATAAGACATTTATGCCATACATGGGCAGTTTTTGAAGCAATAAACCAGTAATAGGCTCAGTTTTCATTGCTGTTTCTATATTTGGGTATTTTAGTACATCAAAATCTGGATATAAGAAGTATTAACAGTCTTATGCCAGCAGAAAGAAATTAATTTTATGCCTGCCTCTGCACAGAAGCCAAAAGCTTCAGGAAATAGGATCTCTTCTCATAAGCATCTTTTCAGATCCAGTTAGGAGAGGGGAAAATAAACAATGAAATGCAAGCTTCCAGGTGCCAGCACAACAGTGTGATATGATCGTTCATGTGGTAATACATATGATTTACAATATGTGTCTGACTAGCACTCCAAGACTGCAGTACTTATTGATAATCTAGGTAGAACCTGGTCCTGCTTTCATGAAGCCTTGCCCTGTGGGAGTTGAGTTGTGACAGGAGGCTATGGGCAGCCTGGCGAGCAGAGAGGAAGAGCAATTTTTTAAAACCTGAGCACCTCTTGTTCTGACACAAATCCTGGGAACCAGCATGCACAGCCTAAAGAAAGCAGCAGTTCCAGTGCCTGGGTGGGGACACATCTTCTGCATGCCCCTCCAGTAGCAATATAGGAGGAAGCTGGCTTTACTTTCTTGCTGCAGCTGTTCCCAGCCCGAGACTGAAGCCCTGGAAAGAAGCATAGGGAATGCTTACTGAACCTGCCCAGGAAGACCAGGTGGGAAGTCAGGTGAAGTCACCACAGAGAGAGCTGGCATGCCCTGGGTGAACATTTTGCTCACCGCTCGCAGCAGTTCTACACAAATAAGTAAGAAACTAGTGAGCATGAGAAGAAAACAAACAAGTGATGAAAAAAGCATCTTCTTGGCAAGACAAAGAGAGAAGCAATGAATGATGATTACTGCTGAATAATAATCCAGAATTAATGGAGAAGGGCAACAGCAAAAGCTGTGCACAGAACACAAATATTTTATCATGAGGATAAACAGTGACATTAGTAGGTTGGCCAAAACTCATCACTCGTTCACATAATACTTGTCTACATTACACAACGTGGCTGACAGCAGTGGCTAAAGCTAGAACATTGCCCTTGGAGACTCTATAATTTTATAAGAGCCTTTCCATAAGAGAAAAGCTGTTCCAACACTGAATCAAGGGCTAGGTTTTTCTCTTGTTATTACTGGTGTTTTAAATTTAAATCACTCTCAGATACATAGCCCTATTTGGGAAGAATGTTGAGCTACAGAGGCTCGAGGGCAGTTGCCAACTTAAGCACAACTAAATTAAGCCAGAAATGTCAAGCAGAAGTGAAAGCAATATCACACTGTATTAGAAACCAGGATTATAAAATCTTTGCCTATCAAAGAGATCAGAAGAATGTAGATAGCTCTTTATTATTATTTTTAATGCAGTAAAGCCTAGAGGCTCCAATCAATTACCAGGCACCCCAAGGAGGTGGTGCCTGCTTGAATACAAGGAGGCACTACAAATAAAAACATGGAAACAGACCAAACACTCTCCAAAGCCCTTTTGGGAAAACAGAAAAGCTTACTGACATTTTATCTTCCTGTCGGCTCAGTGAATGTAGGCAAACCTTGACTGCCACACTTTCATTAATCCTACCTCACTCCTTGAGAAAGTCTAACTAAAGATCTGGAACTGATTATACAAAATCTCAAGAACCATCACTGGTTTTTTGATCTCAGGAGGCTCGTGGGTGCTTAGCACATCCCAAGATCGGGGCACCTTGCCCTGTACTGAAATAGGGAGAGAAGGGGCTGTCTCTGCAGGGCTCTGGCTTTCTATACTACTGTGCAGACCTGGCTCTTCTTCAGTTCAGTGCTTCTCTTTCTACAGTTTCCTCACCCCCTGGGCTACAATGGATTCTCTCCAGCCTCCTTTCGCTGCCTTTCCTTGATCTGCATCCTCTCAGGTGTGCCAGTTCCTCTTGTTCAAGGATGACCAACAGGGCACTGAGGTTTCTCACCCTGCCCATAAGCTGTGTCCCAAGCAGAACACTGCAGTGCCTGTCCCTGTGTGGTGCCGACCATAGCCTAGGAAGAATGGGACCTCAGAGAAACTGTTTGCCTTTCCATGACAGAGGAAACCAGCCGGACGCAGATATCCAAGACAGAAGTGCTGAGAGTTTGCAGGGAGCTTAGGCAGGCAACAGCATATGTGAACAAACATGCCTGCAGACTAAAAAGCCTTGTCTCCACTTTACTGGCTTTGTCGTGGCATCTTTGGGAGATTTAATCGGGCTGGACCATAGACATTTCACCGAGCTTGGAATTACCCTGACCCAGCAAAAAGCAAGCTCGCACTTCCCTTTGTGTGTAAAACTTTTCTGCGGCTGCGGAGAACAAACACTGGCAGGAGCCGTGGGACCTGGACAAACGTGTACTCCCGGTGCTCCTCCTGCCTCCGCCTCCCGACCGCTGAAGAAACCTGCGGGGCACGTCAGGGCTGCTCAACCGCGGGCGTGCCTTTCCAAGCACACCAAGGGAAAAAATATATAAAAAAAATGGAGGGGAGGGGGGCGGGGGATAAGAAAGACAGAGCCCAGAAGGCACGAGATTACTATAAGTGTATAAGTGTAAAGCAGGCGTGTGATGCGGTGGGATGCGCACCCTTACAGCAGCGGAACTCGCCGCGCTGCGCAGCCCCTCGCCCGAAGGGCAGGGCGAGGAAACCGAGCTGATGGCCCGCAACCGTCCTTGGACGCCCCCCGGCCCCTCCCGCAACGCCCAGCCGGGCCCCGAGCGACACTGCCACCCGCCGAGGGACGCGGCGGCGGGCAGTACAGCCCCCGAGAAGCCTGGCATCGCCCAGCCCCGCGGCGTAGAGGGCACGGTGCAAGGTGGGATGGGGACAACCGCAGGACCAAGGGGCACCCGCACATCCGCAGGACCAAGGGGCACCCGCAACACCCAGCGCCATGGCACTCCGAACCGGGATGGAAGAAGAGGGGCTGGCCCCCTGGTGCGGCGGGGAGCGTACCCGGGCTCCTCCCGGCGCCTGCAGGGACAGGGGCGGGGGACAGCGGTGGCGGCGGGGTTGCGCGGAGCCGGGGCGGGCCGGCCCCCCCCCGGTCTCGGACGGCTGGTGGGTGCGGGAGCGAGGGCGGAGGAAGGGAGGCGACAGGGCAGCTCTTCGCCTCCGCGGGCAGGCGGGCAGCCACGACCGGCAGCGGCACCCGGTTTGCTCGGTTGGCCGGCGGAGCCGCGCCGCCCGCTATTATAAGAGGCGGCGGGTGCTCGCCTGTTTTCCCTCACACCCCGCCCCTGCCGCGGCTTGCGGCCTGGGCGGAGGCCCGGGGCCCGGCAGCATGGCCCGCGGCGGGGCGCCAATGGGAGGTGGTCTCCCCCTCTGCCTCCCGCGGACCCTCTCCTCCTCCTGCTCGCTCCCGTACCGCCGGTGGCGGCTGCAAATTGCTGGCGCGGGCTGCGTGTGAAGCACCAGCCCGGGCGGGGCGGCTTCCGCTGCTCCTTCGCAGCCCCCGCCCGTTCGCGCCCGCAGCCCGGGGGACGGAGGGCCGCCGCCCGCGGCATGCGGCGCCGCCGCTGGCGCCCGTCGGACACAGGTGTGGAGCGGCGGGCGACGGTCCGGTCTGCGCTTAGGGCCGGCCGGGGCGGGGCCCCAATTGTCTGAGGGCTTCGCCGGAGCCTCCGCGGCAGGCGGCGGGGCGATTGAGCTGGCGGGGCGGAGCGGGCGCGCCTGGCCCCCGGTTTTGCCCTTGCTCCCTCACCGTGGGGTGAGGCTCCGCGAAGCCCGTGCGGTGCTTCCCGGCAAGGGCGGGCACAGCGGGCGGGAGGTGGTGCCGGCGCGGGGAGCTGCAGCCCTCCCCGCGGCGCCGACCGGGGTCCTGCGGGGCTAGCGGCCCCGCCGTTGCCGCGCCGAATATCCCGGCCGTTCTGGCGGGGGGCGGCGGCCCGCGGAGGGATGGAGCCGACCGGCCCCTGCCGGGCGCAGCTGGTGTCCGCCAACGACTCTTACCAAAACTGTAGCGCCGAGGAAGTGATCTACCAAGATGCCACCCCCCTCTCCGGGAAGATCGTGCTCGCCGTCGTCCTGGCGCTGCTCACCCTGGCCACGGTGCTCTCCAACGCCTTTGTCATCGCCACGGTCTACCAGACGAGGAAACTCCACACGCCGGCCAACTATCTGATCGCCTCGTTGGCCGTCACCGACCTCCTCGTTTCCATCCTCGTCATGCCTATCAGCACCGTGTACACTGTGACCGGCAAGTGGAAGCTGGGTCAGATAGTCTGCGATATCTGGCTGTCCTCGGACATCACCTGTTGCACGGCGTCCATCCTGCACCTCTGTGTCATCGCCCTGGACCGCTACTGGGCGATCACCGACGCCGTCGAGTACTCCACGAAACGGACTCCCAAGCGGGCAGCGGGCATGATCGCACTGGTATGGATCTTCTCCATCTGCATCTCCATGCCCCCTTTGTTTTGGCGGCAGGCGAAGGCTGAGGAGGTCTCTCACTGTGTGGTGAACACAGACCACGTCCTCTACACCGTATACTCCACGGTAGGAGCCTTCTACTTCCCCACTCTGCTTCTGATAGCCCTTTACGGGAGGATCTACGTGGAAGCCAGGTCGCGGATTTTGAAGCAGACGCCAAAGAAAGCAGGTAAAAGACTAACGCGGGCTCAGTTAATCACGGACTCTCCGGGCTCGACCTCCTCCGTCACGTCCATAAACTCCAAGGCTCCCGAGGGATCCAGCGAAACGGGCTCCCCCGTGTACATGAACCAGGTGAAGGTGAAGGTCTCGGATGCCCTGCTGGAGAAAAAGAAGCTGACGGCCGCTAGAGAGCGGAAAGCTACAAAGACTTTAGGGATTATTTTAGGAGCCTTTATCGTCTGTTGGCTGCCTTTTTTCATCATCAGCCTGGTATTGCCTATTTGCAAGGACGCTTGCTGGTTCCACATGGCCATCTTTGACTTTTTCACGTGGCTTGGATATCTCAACTCCCTCATCAACCCCGTCATCTATACTATGTCTAACGAAGACTTCAAACAAGCTTTTCACAAACTCATACGTTTCCGATACACAGGTTGAGATGTTGAATGCGATGTGTTCTCCGGGGCAGCCCCCATGCACGCCCGCGCCCGGCGCCACAGGTAGGTCCGCGCTCCGCCGCCTCCTCCCTGGAGAGCCGCGGTGCTCGGGACGGGAAGAGCTGGGGGGGCGGGAAGGGGGAGAGAGGGGTTGCGACCCCCAAATAGCTGGTGTTCAGACCCTTTGCTAGTGGCGGCGAGCAGCGGGGATGCTGCACGCTCCTGACATTTCACTGTGTGTGTGTGTGTGTCGTGTGTGCCCCCCGCCCCCCAGCTCGTAGGGAGTGACTCAACGACAATCTGCTTTTTACTCCACCTATTAAACCAGTCTGCCGCCATTTCGCATGCCAATGCCCACGTTTGGGCCAATTAGTGCTAAACGGTACTTGCTTTTCGAGCCCCCGGCAGCCGAGCTCCCTGGAGAGCGCCGGGGCCGGGCCGGTCCCCGCGGCGTCGCTCCCGGTGCCGCCTCCCGGGCCGATGGGCAGCTGGGGGTGCAGCCCCCTTGGCAAACAGTCGTGCAGCCCCGGTGCCCGCGGCGTGTCGCTTTTTGGGTTTTTGGTTTTTTTGCGAGGACAGGCCCCAGATGAAGGCTAGTGGCGAAGTCGAGCCCTACTTCTTTCCGGCCTCCTCACGGCTCCGTCTGCTCCTGCGGGAGCGGAGCCGGCCGCGAGCAGGCGTCCCGAGGGGAAAGCTGCCCCTGAGCCTCCGTGACACCCGTCACCTCGGTGTGTCTCTTCACACGCGGAGGGGCTCTGCCTTTCCGCGCCTCGGACAGCAGTGGCTGCCAGCTCATCGCTAAACTGGGCGCCAGGTTCTGCAGAATGCATACATGCCGTTATTGTGATACTTTAATAATTCTGCCAATCTTTTGCTTTTTGTCTGCAGAATCAAGTTGCTATTGTAAAGACCCACTGCTTGAAACTTCCCCAAGCCCAGTTGCCAGACTCATGATGCTGCAAAAACGTCAATACATACTGCCACCAAACTGCTCAGCTCTGCGTTTCAGTGTAATGACTCTGGCAGAGATGCTGTTCCAATAGGCACGCAGATCAGTTGCAAAAAAAGAGGGCAGCCTCGAATCAAGGTTTATAATTCATCTGGAATGAAGAAAAAAGTTTGAGAGTAAACTCCATTTATTTTGCAGGCTTAACTTCTTAATTTGTTCTCCAACCGGTTGTAGGGGTGTGCACAAGAGCACAGTTGTCTCTGTCCGTGTTGGTAGCGTAGTTGTACTTCTGCACATCTGTAATTTCTTTCAGTGGAAAGAGTTGCTTCCTTCACTTAGGAGGCCAAAAGGAGAAAAAAGCAGCTTTTAAGATAGGAGCGTCGCAGTAAATTCTGTAAATGACTCCTTTAGCTGAACATGTGTGAGAAGTGACAGTGTGCAAAAGTTATATTTGTATTTCAAAACAATAGCAAATGCTCTAGAAACAAAAGTTGTAGACCTCTTCAATTGCACTGCATACCTGTAGTCTGTCCTCATAGTTGACTTTATAAAGTAAATGCTTCTTGATTCTACTCCATTACTCAAGAGCAGAAATCAAGAAGTCCAATGACTTTTTCCATAAATCAGCTGGGAATAGAAGTAGCAGTTTGATGTTGTAACCATGTTTTCCGTTTTGTGTTGGTTGCACACCCTTACCGCATGAACCACTGCAAAATTTATAATTCTCTAAGTACTTATATTATTAAGTGTATTTTGTAAAGAAGTGAAGCAGTTTGCCCTTTCAGAAGAGCAATTTCACCTGCAAAATAAATACCCATGAATCATGAATTAACTGATGTTAGTGAAATTTCTTTCCTCCCTACTTCCCTCAGTTTTTATTTTCTTTTTTTCCCCCCCTGTTTGCCCCCCCCCCCTTGGACCTTAAGACAGGTCTATACATACTCAGCAGAGTTTCAGGATATGGTCCACCTGCTGTGATAGAACTGCATTGATTGTTTCTCTTATGTGTAAATGAAAATGAGTATAAACAATAAAACGCTTGACTGTGTTCTCAAGAGTGGTAGCAATTGTGTGATTGAAAGAAGTATTTATTGGTTTATCTGTTTTCTCAGTATTGACTTTTTAGGTAACACTGATTTGATGAGTCACTCAAGAAAGCAATTGATGGAAGTTGAAATTATGATCTTCAATCAGTAGTTAATTTTTTAACAGACAGCTTTAATTGTAACTAGTACTGTTAGGTATAATACTATTTTCATGTAGTGTCAGAATAAAATTTAGGGTTTTTTAAACAATATTTTTCTTACTCCTTTAAAAGCAAACAAAACTTATTTTAGCACTTGGTGGATACTGTAGGCAATGTTCTTTTAAAACTCTATGTATATATTCTAAATGTGGGCTGTCACAAGACTGAAAAAAATCTTACATGATTTGTCTACCTGCTATTCTTCAGAGAGTCATTCAAGTAATAAGGATTTATTTGCCTAACTGACTAGTAAAGAAAGAACCTTGACCCTCTGTGCTTCTGAACTGGTCATGGGCAGAAAGAAGTCTGTAAGATACAAATTAAAGCAGTGGAAATTAAGCATTTTCAGTAACTTAAAGAAATACAGAAAACTTTCCTTAAAATTGCATACCTCAAAAAAAGAGACCTACTATAGTATGCTTCAAGAAAGTACCCTCTTAAATTATTAAAGACAGATGTCATTAGAGGAATTTTTTAAAACACTATCTTCTTTGATTGAAATGCTTGTATTCCTTTTAAGTTTAATTTTTTTTTTCATCTATAGGATGAAAAAAACAAGGAAGATAACATAAAACAGTGCTTAACCTATTTTCATCTGTCATTTTCTGGTCATGTAGAATGAATTTTGTTTACCCCAAACTCTTTCTCACCAGGCTTCTTGTATGTGTAAAAAATGGAAAATGAAACTGTAAAATTAATATTTTCAGCATTTCCAGAGGCTTGAGTCTTCTCTCAGTTTTACAAAGTTATGGGACTTGGAGAGCAGTGAGGTTCAGGAGCTGGGCTTTGTGTTCTTCAGACTGTTGAATATACCTTCATCTTCAGCAACTGGCAGCAAATACTCCCAGCTCCCTGTTGTGATGTAAGGATTTTGCTGAGAAACTCCCAACTCCCTGTTGTGATGTAAGGATTTTGCTGAGAAACTAATTCGTCAAGAAATTATCCTTCTAAGTTTATGCTGAGGCTCTGAACTTTGTGCACACATAAGCATTTCAGACAGCCATGCTCGCTGCTGGGAAGAGGGTGTGGAAGCTGCACTGAGTAACTTGGGGCCAGAGGAGAGGAGGCTGAGTGGAGCCCTGCTGAGATACCTGCTCGTTAAAGGCCTTGTGCTACTGGAGCAGCAGCATCTTGTTCAGAAAACCATTCCCCCAGGGAGATAGGTAGAGTGAGGACATGCATCTGTTCGCAGCGAAGGAGAAGAAATGTAGGGCAAATGTTGCTCAGTGCCAGAAAATATAAATATGTAAAACGTGTTCCAGGATTCGCATAGAGTGTTTTAGGGCGGGTAGAGTGTCCTGTGTGTGCTTCACTTCTCTGTGACTGGCAGAGTGTGTCCTGGTTGAACCTAGGTTTTAAAAGATGCTCAGGATGTGGCAGTAAAGTTAAGACTTTCTCTGAAGAGGTCTGAGGATATTGCTGTCCTGGTTCTCTGCTTCCTTGCTGTGCCTGGGTACTGTGCTCTGCCTTTTGAAGGGTGGCAGGAGAGGCTATCCTTTCTGTCCACCTCATGTGTGTCTTCCCATGGAAATGGCTCAGACGACCCTGCCTCTTCGTGGTTTTGTCACAGGAACCTCTTCATGACCCTGCAGGTAAACTCTAAAGGTGCTTAAGCTCATGCTGTCTCAGTCTTTCATTACAGAAGCAGCATGCCTTTCTCTTATATTTCTTGCCTTCAGTTCACACAGTCAGATGATGCTTTTAAGGCAAATGTCTCTTAGGCACTGAGGTTTGAAGTTGAACACACATTTGCAAGCCTTGTGCTTCCCACGTTTCATGGCAAGGGATACGTGTGTGATAGTGTTGCTGACTGCAAGCGCTGTGAGGCATATGACACTTCAACTGTAGCTGCCGTTGTGGGAGCAGCTGATTGCAGCCCCATAGCTGCACTGTTTTCCTACTATTCCTCAATTCTATTTAAGAGGCATTTCTCGCTCTTCCAATTAATAAAACAGAGGTAGAATATAGAAATTGAGAGGGGAAATCACTTGCAATGAACCTTCATACAGCTGTGCAGCAGCCTACAAAGGTCTACCTTTTCTCCATGCATAAGAAAGAAAAAAAGACTAATGTGCCAAGGCTCCATGGGACAAAAGAGGTTTCAACTAATTGTCTGCGCATTTATACCATATTCACTGCCGGAGTGTTTGAGGAAACTGGCCTGACCTTCAGCTTCCAGCAGGGCCATGTACAGGAGGGATGACTCCATTTGGAGCAGCTGATTTCCACCCTCTTCTGCTGCTTCCTGCAAAAAGCCAATTTGCCTTCCGTTAGCAGAGCACTCCATGCATTTTCTGAGTCAAAGGTGCTACTCCTGTATTCTCTTGGTCCATAAGAATTGGATATTGTCAGATCTTTAACTTGAAAATCCAGTTCAGTCTAAAGCTATTCTTTCAGGGAGCAAAGTGAAAAAGACAAGTAGTAGTAACACTGGAGAACAAGCACTGCAATTTGTAACAGCAGCTAAGGCTGAGCAGCATGGCTGAGAGCAGTTCTGTAGGCAAATGGTAAAATTCCTTTTAAATTGAAGTGTAGCACAGATTGAAGTGCAGGTTTCTCCACCAGAGAGCTTGTAGCAAAGAAAGAGGTCAAGGAAATAGTCCAAAGTCTTCAAGCTTTGACCAGAGTATAAGGAGAAAAACCCAAAGTTACTACTCCGTGTCTCAGGAGTCCAGTAGATAGGTGAGCAGACAGTTTCAGAGAGAAGAACCATACCCAGAGGCGTGTAGGAAAATAAAAGGTGTGCATTTATGCAATAAAGTAGGTACCAACTCCTCTTCGTGTGTTGGGAACCCTTTTGTCTTTAGAGAAACCACACATATTTGAGATATATCCTTAAAAACCTGCCTACATCAGGACAGAAAGGTTAGTGGTTTGTGTTAAGAGTTTTTTTACATTTCAGCAGTTAATAGCTAAGAGAGAACACAGAAGCAGTTTGAGTGAACTCTCCTACAGCAATGAGTCTGGCTGATAATGACCTTGAAACATTTAAGTGCAGAATAATATAGAAAAGCAAGAAGAAATGAAGCTTTTTAATCAATCATGTATTAAGCTTGAAAAATGTAATATAACAGGCAACTCAATAGGTGAGATGAAGAGGAGATCCACAGGATATCGAATTTACAATATAGAGATCAAAATCTCTTACTGAGTCATTTTCAAGAGCCAGAGAAAGAAAATGTTTGCCGTTCTTTTCAGAGATCAAACTCCTTGCAGTCATCCCTATAAAGGAACAAGGCTTTTTTATTGTCTTTATACAAATAATACTTTGAAGGCTACAAATCAGATGGAGTTCACAGCTGCAGGACTTTCACTGAGTAATCATATGTTCTGTCTTTTAGGTTGAACGGTCGTAGAAAAATAAGAAAGATGGGAACAGGTGATGATTATGTAAAACAACCCCTTTTTGGTATTTCTTTCCTTATCCAGAAGCAAGGCAAAAATGAGAACAACGGGAAAAAACACAGTCTGGAAAATTAAGGCATTATTGATGTTACATCAGATTTCAGGAACATGTTTAGTGTAAGATGGGGCAAAAAAACCCCCAAAACATTTCCAGAATTCAGAGACGTTAAAATTAGATTAGAAGTTTCCTTCCATCCATATACCTCAGGGGTCTCACTATCCTAATATTAGTTGTATAGTACTGTTTCTAAAAATCTTTATATTCCCAAATATGTTCAAATTAACATTTTTTAATACATTCACATCCACTTTTATATTAAGGCATACACTTCCCAAGCTCATTCACTCTTTTCCTGTAGATTTCAAATTGCAATTTGTGCTCTTTCCTGCTTGTGTGCTCTGTTTAGAACATAAATCTCATTTGAATCCAGCCCTCTAAAATTCAGTCTCTATGAGAAACATTGTAT